TTTTAGTGATTTTAGACGTTGAATTTTATTTTTGTCTAGAAAATGATATTGTATTATAGTATTCACTTTTGTCTCATTCTTAGAAATTTCGTCGACTGAATACAAACACAGACTCAACGCCTTCAACTCAGATCTCCAGTTTTAATCAACGTTCCCAGGTGTATGATAAATCTGTCGGTGTTCGTCACCAAAATCCTACTACGTCAACCTCAAATGACGTTGGCAGTCAACATTCTGTTTCATCTAATTCTGAAAATACAATTCCTCCTCACAAACGTGTTAGATTGGATGTGCCTAATACATCTTCCACTTTTACAGATCAACAGATTGACCTACCATACTCTACTTCGGATAAAAATACTTCAAGATCATCCATTCTGCATTCATTTCCAAACCAAAATAATGATGATCATAACAATCAAACTAACACAATTTCTCCTCCACTTCACGATAATCTCCACCCACTTGATTCGTATAATCGTCCAAATCAACCTTGTACATATAATACAGCCGGTGGAAGTGAAGGGGAAAGTGCTGAGCACACTCCATTCTCTAATTCAAGTACTGGTAGCAGTGGTTATGGGGGTTCAAACAACGGCTTGACTGCTTCTAGTGGAGTAGTAAACGGTAGTATTAGTGTTGATGATCGCCGTGAAGAGTTAGCGAGATCTACATCTCGATGCCCTTTGACAATGTCTGTTCATTCTGAATGCTTATCTAGTCGTTTACAAGCTGAGGATCAATTGTCTGATGGTAAGTTTCAGCTATTTCTTGATGTAGTACTATCAGTTTAGAAAATTAATAGGGTTAATTTGTACAAGAGTATACAGATCATGCGGTGATGAAATAAAAGAACTAGTTCCCTTATATCATGCCAAATGGGATTGTGGCGAGTGTGATGTGATTAAAACCAAATATCTATGACAAGTCAGTTACCACTAGATAGTTTGTCGATTCTGTGTTATTATTATTATTATTGATTTTCAAGGGGATAAGTTTGTTTTGCTGTAAAACAAGCTATCAATTACTTCTGTCCGAAATATTGATATACTCAGTTGTCTTTAAATGTAATACATCGTACAACTGAATAGCAATCTGCAAGTGTGTATACTATTGTTTGAGGTTTACTAGTACCTTGCAGTCTCAAAATCCTTGCCTTAAAGCTCAGTAAATTTACAAAAAACTTTTTTTATTTGAACTGTGTAACAACTTAGTTAATTTTTGATTCACAAACTTCCATTATCGTAGAATCAATGGAATTGAAGTCACTTGTTTATTGTTAATGGACCTTACTATGATTTTTGCTTTTCTATCCAATCGGTTAGTCATAATCAGTATAGTCTGAGACAGATATGTGTTAGCTCACACCATTCTGACAAGATGGAATCAACAAGAGGAGTACCAAAAGTCCAAGTAATAGTAGTATCAGTAATAGTAAGAAAGATCGAATAGTCAGAATGCTTCGAAAAGTCAAATGTAAAAGTTATGTATGCAAGTATACTAAAACTCAACATCTAAAATAGACAAAGAGCGCATGCATCTGCACCATTATGACCGATGTTAAGCTATGTGACTCAACATTTCTTGCCACTGATATGGATTATTATGCAGATCCCAACCCTATACTTACGAAAATGGCTTGGTCCCACAGTCAGTGATCTTGTGGGCTGATGATTTGTCTTAGTTTGATAATCGGTAGTCGTGCTCCAACCTGTTCTTACTTCAGCTAACGTTTCGGAAAATGGTGGTAGTGGTTGAATAGAAGTAATTACCTTCTACTAGGAGATTCACTTGTTGAATTAGAATATGCTGACGACAGTTTTGTTTCGTAAAGACGCTGATAAAATCAGTCTTCTGACCAGCATGTTCGGGTGTCGGTTCTACCCCTCGAAATGCAAAATGTTGCTTCAGGGTTGGCTTGCATCGGCACCCGAACTAGTGATAGGGGGTGGAGTAGTTGAGTTCGTTGAGTGCTTCACTTATCTCAGGTGTCTCATCAGTGTCCATGGCCTTGTGTGTGGAGAAATCTCAGAGCAGATGTGGGAGGCTCGAGTAACGTTTGTCAACTTGCGTCATTTATAGTGTAAGTGAGATACCGTTCTTCTAACCAAAGGATGTCTACTGCTCAGTGATTCACTCTGTCCTATCATGTGGGTGTGAAACATGATCACTATGAATACAGGATATGAGTAGGTTACTAGTATTCTGTCATAGGTGTCTTCGAAGCATTGTTCGTCCATCCTGGGATCGTTGAGTGAGCAATGCTAGCTTTAGGAAAAGTGTTCTAGGTAAAGATGGCACATCAATTAATGAAGTGGTGAAACCTCATCAGTTGAGGTGGTTGGGACATGCGTTACGTACGCCTAACTACCGACTACCTCGTCGAGCGATGTTCGATGTACGGGTAGGCTCGAAGAAAGCTAGGGGTGGCCAAACCAAAACATGGCAGAAAACCATGAATTCACGGACAACCTGACTGAGACATGTTAGTAGGTGTAGACCAGCAGGTTGGTGTCCGCGAGACGATAGTAACCGATGGTTAAAGACTCTGAGTGACGTAGCTCAAAATCATTTGCTATGAAGCAGATGAAATTGTTGTTTGTCTTCTCTCAAATTCCATCTTTTCGATTACGACTGATATGGCTACTACCTGTACGACTGTGGGATTTGAATTGGCAATGCCATCTCTCTGTGCTTATATGGTATGGCAACTTGAACCGATGTACGTTCACACGAGGTTCTACGTTGTTGCTGATTGACTGACCGGTTCGCCCAGTGCATCACGTCAACCTCGTTATTACTGGGTTTGTTCTATTAGTTTTCATCATTTCAAGACATATATATTATCTTTTCACACAAAATGTTTGGCATAAGATAAGCTTCTAAACTTTAACCTAGTAACATATTTACATACACGTTTTTCTTCTATTACCTGACTTGTCGCTCAAGTTATGCATTTACATAATTCGTCTGTAATTTTGAACTTGAAGAGAAAATCAGTGGTTATTTTTATTACAGGACCATCAGTAACATTATTCCTCCATCTAATCCAATCCCCTTTAGATTCCTTTTACTTTACATTTGATTAACTGAAAGAGTCCGAATAGCTATGTATTTCTGACATAACAGGAACTGATTCATATCCACCATCTTATCGATTCATTAACCATTGGATGCGTGCCCAGTGGTCTCGAGGTCGGGCCTATGCGCGCGAGACCGAAGTTTCTGGGTTCCATTCGCGAGTACTGGCGTCGTGGATAAGTTCCATACTAGGATAAAACGGCAATCCAGTGCTTACACGTTTCTATTAATGGTCTAGTATTGATTGATTCATAATGTCAAGGAAAAACAATCTCCACAACCATGTAATGATGATTAACAGTAAACCGGAAAATCGCTAAATGGTTTCAGCTTTTCTTGTCCCAACATCCATAGTTCTATAATTCTCTATTAGAACAGAACATGTTACTCCTGATTGGACGAGTTGAATGCGACCTAGTCCGTAACTAGTTTTATGGTTTTGTATTCGAAGGTAGCTTACATGTATTTCAACATCCCTTTGATAGTTTTTCGCCCTGTTTTAATTATATTATTGACAATATGTATTATTAAATTTTTCATCGATGTATTTGGTAAGACAATTAAGTGTTCATCAATCCATAATAAAGGTTATATGTTGCAAGTTCTGTTTGCTGACATCGTTGTTTAGCATTTAGTCACATGATTCGCATAAACACGTGACTTGCGCGAAGCGCCAAACTTTTTATGGTAAATAATTATTTATTTCACTACGTCGGGTACTACATTATTCCTTTTTAGACTAAAGTACGTTTTTCTTTTTCTGGTAAAGTACAAAAGGGCAGGAGTTTTAAACTGTTTAAGACATTTTCCGACAAAATGTATTAATTAGTCAAACTGGTTTCTCTTTGGAACGTGTTCGTGAAATGACCGTTACGAATTTATGGGCTGACCGATCATCGGTCTTGTTAAGCCTTTTTTAATCTAATCCTAAATACCCTTGTTACTTAGTATTCTTCAGACACTACTTCACTCGAATACTGAAAATCAGAACACAGCTTGGACACTTGCGTAATTATATTGCAAATAAACCAAGTTGAATGGAAATAAATCCCAGTATGAAGAAATTAGTATATTTATAATTTTGTACGAGAAGATTCCAGTGCTAGTGCAGAAATATTTTGAGGTGTAGGAGTAGGTTGGAAGAAAGCAAGGGGATGCCAAGCCAAAACATGGCAGAAATCCATGAAGTCACTGACAAGAAGACTAAGTGATGTTGGTAGGTGTAGACTACCTGGTTGAGGTCCGCGAGATGATAGTAGTCGATGGTTAGAGACCCTGAATTACATGGCTCAGAATCGTTTGCAACGGTGCAGGTGCATTCATTCATTATGTACTCTCAAGTCCTAATATTCTGAACTCATCATCATTTCTATCTTTCTATTTCAAAATTAACCTCATTGAATTATACTTCTTGAATAACCTCTTCGAATCCTAATTTTCTACATTACCACTAATACTTCTACTATCTCTACCGCTATGGGATTTGAATTTTCAATCGCGTCTCTGTGCTAATGTGGTATGGGAACCTGAACTGATGTACTTACGTACGAAGTTCTACGTTGTAACTGACTGACTGATTGCTGAGAGAAAAGTCATCCCAAACGTCCAACTCATTTACTGGATTAGAAAAGAAGACCTTCCGCAGTAACTGACAAAAGTGGAAGGACGTCTTCTTTGAACAGTATTGAATTATAGTACCGAGGATGCTTCAAAACGGAAATGCACAATTCTGTAGTTATCAGTTGAAACGTCAGGACTACATGAAGAATCTCAAAAAGAAATGAGACCGGCGATAGTACTCTTGGCGCGGCAGAAGAAAGACTATTGTCACTTGCCACTTAAGAACAAAAGGCTCTAAAGAAACTGAAAATAGGGAAAAACAGTAGTCGTTGATAAATAATGCATTACGAAGTGTATATCAACCAATGGAAGCTGATCCCATCCAAAACCTGTATAACCCCATCAACAGAACGCTTAATAAATTTGTCAAAGAGTGACAAATAACACAAGAACATCAATGGTCAATAAAAATGAATGGATCCATGATTCCTCGGTTTTACGGTATATCGAAATTGCTCAAAACAAGCATTCCTCTGTGATCAATCGTCGCACCTCTATAGATATATAATCTTTCATAAAATATCTGGTAGACTCTTTTGATCACTTGATCAAATATCTGACATGATTCCTAGATCAAAGTCACTGTAATTTCTAATACTCAATGAATCCCTACTTATATCCTTCCATATTTCCAGGTAATATGATGAACACATTGGCGTATGATATAACCGAGCAACAAGCTTTGTCTCAAAATATTGTTGGAACGGATGGTTTTCATGTGGGTGATTTAAACAGTAAATTAGCTGAAATCGATCGGTATGTTCTCTTAATTATTTATACACTTGTTGAAATTTAAACCGATTCGACATAATGTACGTTTAAATGAATTGAATTGAAAAGATTTTCAGTTGATGATGTACGTGTTGTTTAAAGATTTGGTCACATGTTTCTCTGAATGATTATATCCTCTTCGAAAACTATTGCAATCACCTGTAGAGTAGGTTTCCAACTGGTTCATGTTTTTTATCTTGTACATAATTGATTCGTGACCTTCAAATGGAGTTCTGTAAAGATGTTACTGACCGATAATTTTAAATCCACGTATGAGCAATACATCATATTAATAAAATATGTTTGAGGACTATGTACTACTCGTTATTGATTGTAGACGTGTGTGGACTAATATTTGCAATATCTTAGAAACTAACTGCATCAGGTATTTATATCGTGTTGACTAATAATACTACTCTGATGTCAAGACGGAAATAGGCGGAGGGGTTCAAACGTAGGGCTTATTAGGTGAAAATCTACTGCCTTAACCACTGAACCACCGCAACGATACCATGTCAAAAGCACTGGTTCTTGTCCATTTACTACAGTTAAACAATTTTGAGCCACGGTAGTACTTGTAATATCTCAAACTATAACAGCTAAATCCAATCAGCAGCCTGAGATTTCCACTTCACTCAATAGATGCATTATTTTAACAGTATCTGAGGTTGTAATTTAATCAATATGTTTCTGTACTTCTTCAGGCTTTATCCAGAAATCTCGACACCAGAACAAGCTTCAATGTATTTATCTGAATTTGAATGTACCTATCCAACTTACCTTCGAATGTATCATTCCTTCTCAGATATATGGAAAACTGTCAGCAACTTACGAAGCCAATTGTTGGAAGCTACCAAGACTGAAGGTTTCGATAGTGCCACTACAACACATTTAGCGAATCAATTAGATAAATTTATGCGTCGTTCCCGTTCACAAAAATATCGTGATGATGAAATTCAACTGACATTGATGGTGCATAAACTACGATTACTAAAACAAAGACTTGCTGATTCACAACATCACAACAATGGTGGTTGTGGTCGTGTCTCTTCTGTTACTAGTGATGATGCAACAGGCAACAAAATTGGTCGACGTCATTCTAAGAATAACAGTAATCACAATATTAAATCTGTTTCAATGAAATCGTCAACTAATCAAACCTTTTCCTTGTCTAATAACAATGTTGTTCAATCGTCTGTTGGTAATAACATCAGTATTAATAGCAGTAGTACTAATATTAAGAATAATAGTAATCACCTTACTGATAATTGTTATCGTCAATCGTTAACTGATCTAAGCGATTATTCAAGTCTGCTCCAGTGTAATCAGGTTTGAACGACCACGCACGAATAGGCTATTTTCTCCTATCATTTTTTACCTGTTAACATTGGGAAGACTCAATTCTCTGAAATATTGTGTTGTGTATTAGACTCTCTCTCTCTCTCTACTGTCTTTCGGTTGAATTGATGTCTCTACTATTTCTATTGTCTTGTAGCAGTTGTTGTGTTTTGTCTCCTGTTATCTCTTAATTGTTATTATTCTGTCATCATGATTCCATTCATCATATGTGTATGGTTTTGGCTAATTCCTGCAAACACAAACAGCATTGCTACTTTTGACTGATTTGTGTACTACTTGTTTGTCTCTTTTGTGCTAATGTTTTGTTTGACTTTGTCTTTCTTTTATCAGTTTATTTTTTTATTGAATTTAACGACCATCTGTGTTATTTACTGGTGTTGGTGTTGTTTTTCAAAATTATTGACTAGTTCTTTCTTTAATGACCTTTTTTGTCTTGTATCTATTATTATCCCTTGTCTTTACTTACTGCTGCACTCCAAACGCACACAGTTCTATAATTAATCAGTTGAAAGTATATAAAAAAAAAGTAGTCACATTTTATTTGCTGAATTATTCAATCAACAAAACATTCCTCCATTTAATGTTTATATGTGTGATATCAATCATGTTATTCTTATATATGAGATACTATGTGTTTACTGCTAATGTTCTAATGACTGCACAACCCTATTAAATAGTCAATGTTATTGTTTACATAAAACAACAAATGAGTTATCCAACATAACAATAATACTAATGTTATTATTAGGCATTTCCTATTCCAATCTAATTAGAAGTATTTCGTTTTGAATAAATCCATGAGCTATATACATAGACAAGATGTAATGAGGCATTTATTACCTTATATTTAATAAGTGAATGAATTAATGATTTTCTTGTGATGCTTATTGGCCTAATGGGACTGATAATATTTATTAAAATATTTAAATCTATTTAATGCACAAATTATCAAGATGTGTCTGTATTATTTCTGTCTTCTTTTGCTGTTATTGAAAGCTGCGTTATTTTTATGTGTCAATTCAACTCTATAATAATTAAGTTGAAATGTCAACATTTAATACTATACAGATTATGAGCTCCGTGACAGTGTGTACACATGTTAATTATCATGCATTGTTTTCGATCTCCATTTTCTTTATTCTACACTTGATATTCCCGTGATTATTATGGTTATTTGTATTCCATATTACGCCCTCCCCCGATCAAGTCTTCTATTCTGTGTAGTGTTCACTTCTTAATGTGTGTGTATGAAAGAGAGAGAGAGAGAGCGCTCGATTTTAATATACTTGACATTCTCTTGAAGTTACTATATATTAATTTTTAACATAATTATCTCTTTTCATTGATTTGTCCGGTGACTTTAAGTTTGCCGTTGCTTCACATCTGTGCGAATACAAATTCCTTTCCTGATGATGGTGGATGAGTTTATCGTAGTATTGTAGTTCAGTCTGATGAAGATTAATTCACTGTTCATAGTTGGTTTACTCTCTCTCTTTCTCTATGGTCCTCTACTTTTTAACTCAGCATTTCATCTGAACAAAATCATAAATTTATTGACATGATCATCATTGTATAATGGCTGTTAATTTGTTTTGGTCACTTTTTCTTTACTCACAGATATCTACATTTGTTCATCTCAACTGTTTGTATTGTTCTACCTTCACTGCTGCCTCTGTTTCTGTTCACACATGTGTTTCCTATAAAAATTGTACTAATTGTATTTGTTGTGATGTAATTAATAGGTCTTTCATAGCATTATATTTATATACTATGTAACAACTAAATTTTATGTACGTGCTCGTGAGTTTGGTTTTTTGTGTTTCTTCTTGTCTTTTGTTGGCATATCCTCTCACAAATCTCTCTTAATTTCTTTGTCTACTTACACACTATTTTTTATGTGTAAATATTGTGATTATTTAGTGTGGTTTTATGTGTGTAAAATGATGGTTATATATATATATATATATGTATATATATTTGTTTGTATGCCAATTTGATCATGGTTCAACCGATTTCTTTTTGTGTCTTGCTTTTTGACAACAACAACAACAATAACAAAAAAAACAAACAATATTTTTGATGTGTAATCAATGAGGTTTAAATACATAGATAGATCAGATAATTTGTTTTATAGAAAATATAATAATAATAATAATGGGAAAAAAGACATCGGCAAAGTGCTATGGTGATTTACTTTAAACAGTTTAGGAATTTGTGAAAAGAATAATTTGTTTGTGGATAGCAGCTATGATTGATTCTATAGTGCCGTAAATATATATATATATATATATGCTGCTTTAATATTCTGTTATTTGTATTTACACTGTTGTACAAGTTAAAATTGGCTTGTATACCTATGATGATTCAAATCCATATTGTACAAAATAGTCATTCATTCGTAGCGTACTAATAAATTCACTTAATGCTAATGAGAAATTGAAAGATTTTTATTTAGAAATGTAATGACACGTTGTTATATTATTGATTGGAGGTTGAATATTTAAAACACTAATTAACATTAAATAATCAAGTGCTAGGGGTTGATTTTGCTGAGATAATTATAAATGAATTTCTGCTAAATATATCTAATCATGACAATTCATTAACACTGACTTTGGAAGTCTCCAAATCATGCTTAGTTTTGGTGGAAACTATGCTGGTAGTAGAGTTAAGAACGACTGATTTACTCCAGTTGGTTAGATATCTTATTGTTTGGCGAAAAATTATATCTCGAAGGCAATCTGTTTTTAATAATAGTACAAATCATGTATTATGTTTAGTTCGAATGACCTTAGGATACCTGGGCATATGATGTGTTACACTTCCAGATCAGCTGATTTTTAAAAACTTGTGTCTATTACATATGACTTGTAATTAGTTTCAAATAAGTATTATATTCACTATTTTGTGTCTGTTGCTGCAACCAATTTATTTTAAATTGTCAACATTTCTCCCACTGTTAATCACATTTCATCTGTTCTTCGTAAACTTGTTTTATAATGGCTATACTGAAGCAATCCTTAATTAAATAGAAAAGCTTGGTTGTGAGATGTCAGTGAAAATAATCTTTTCTCTCAAGTGATTTCGATTTATAGTAATTCCACTACCTATGAAGTGGTGTAGTATTTTGTATCAGCAAGTGTTTTATAATGCCATATGTTGACCTCTTGTAGAAAAATCCAAATTTCCTTTTTTTTTTACAGGTAGTTTACCTTTTTCCAAGCTGATATTGATAATTAATTACATTACGTAAGAAAGCGACCTCGAAGTTTTCTTGTCAATTAGATTATGCCAATTAAGACTTGAACGTCTGTCAATAATCAAAAAAATTATGTAAAAGTTCAAATCTATGAAGTATTTTGTGACTGATTTTTTATAGATATAATTTAGTGAAGTATTTCTCATCATCTCAATGACGTTTACACTGGAAGAGGTTTTATTATTTTACAGTTTAATTCACGAATCGATCTTGGCTAGACTATCACTGAAAGCTCTGAATGGTTATTGTGACCTAGTATGGGACTCCTCAATGCATATTCACTACTACGGTCGCTGGAATCAGACCCAGGGCCTTCAATTCACGCGAACACCTAATCTCTAGAACACAGTGAACAGGCATCTGACGTTATTAATGTCTAACTTCCGCTAATTCGCGCTATTGCGCAATCTTTATCCGTCGCCTGCAAGTTTATATGCTTGAATACGAAACTAGTTCTTCATATTTGGCAACTAAATCCGTTAATCAATAGGGCATGGTACTTATCTAATAATACTGGCAGGTAACTGCGTCATGGTTTACAGTTGCTCAAAGTGAATTATTGATACACTGACCGAGGAGTATAATGTCCGATATACAACATGACGCTTCTCGATTCCATTTTATTTGGGCCACGATTTAAACTGTCCTCTGAATTGTCGATCAGCAACAGAAAGATTATATTATACGTCTAGACCATTTTTATAATTGAGATAGGAATATTGAAGAGCTATCGCAAGTAAATGAATTATTTATCTAGTCTAGGTTACTATTCTGATTAAGCCATTCCAACCATATATGAATAAACTGTAAGTCTAATTATTTAATTTTTGGCAGTAAAGCTTCTACATTCTGGTCTGTAACCCCAAATATTTGTGTTGATCAGGCGTTCGAGGCATGTATATTGGCAATCGACGTAAGTATCAAGTGGAAGTACATTTGAAGACAATACAACTGGATATAATCGACTTAATGTCTCAGGTGTTTACATTCCAAGTGAGTTAATTACTGTGGTCTGATTTAGTGAGATAGTTTAGTAAGTTGATGGCCAACTATACATTGCCGAGTTTTATTTTGGTCACCATGTGGATAGAAAGTTCAATTTTTATCCTTTCAGCAAAGTATATATAATTGAAATCATGAATCGATCATTTTTAGACCACTACTGTAAAACCGTTTCGTCCCATGAACGGAGGTAGTGGATGCGCACTGTTGAAAAGTCACATAATGGAACAAAATGGCCGTCCAGTGTTTCTAAGTTTCTAACGGTGGTCTAACAAAGATCGATTTATGATTTCATCCCAAAAAAATAATCCCCATATCTCTATGAATTATATCTGAATGAGGTTTATTTTATAATATTTCAAATAAACAGAGCATTGTGTTTGATTGTTTATAATAAAAAAATAATATCTTCATGATCGCCCAATAATTAGAAATTAGAAATACTGACATTTATCGACTTAAATCATATCTATAAAAAATAAACAAGCAACCAACTTAAATTGACAGAAGTCTAAACAGTACAAAAGAATGAGATAGAATATTTTAATTCCACCAAAATCAAAACATGTTCGATCATATCGATAGTAAGTCATTTTGGTTGACGTGATTTTACGTTACACCACGAGATCATGTTGACCAAAATGACATGATGTCGATAAAATCAAACCTGAATTTGATTTCAACCGAAGTGAATATTCTGCAATACTCAGACTTC